AAAAGCTGCCATATGAATATTAAGCAGCAATTATGATCAATGCCTTTTCAGAACACGTATGTCAGAATTTAGGTGAGATGAAACTGACACAGAACACAAGGTTTAAACAGATGCTTTTTATTAAGCTATGTTAAATGCTACTCTTCCAAATTAAATACAAGTTCCTGGCTAGATTAGGAAGTGATACACATTTCTAAAATGACAGATACAACCTAGTTGTTTTGTGTTTTCCTAACACATACTAATAGTGGATATCAAATCACATCAAAAGCCCTGTGCAAACCTGTAGACTGGAAATCAGGACTCTTTCATTAAACAATATTCAGTTAACAAAAGACTTCAGATTCTTGTGACAGTGTTCAATGTGCAAAAGGAAAAGGGCCACTGTCAGAAACTCCCACCTTTTGGGGGAAAAAAAAATATAAATTTTGGTTTTGCATAAAATCCAGTGTTTCACTTGGAGTTGTTTTAATGTAATTACTTTGCTGTTGGTCATTTCTTTTTGCCTGAAATTGACAGGATCTGCAGTCAGCCCAAATCCCACTGACATCCATGTATATATATGTAAGGTAGAACAAAGCCTCTTCAAAGCCTAAGTAAGTTGTAAACCTTTAGCTCAGAAAAAAGTTAGCAATCAGCCTTCCCTTATTCAGAACACTTTTCCCCTTTGTCTTACCTATTGCATATCTAATAAAATAAAGAAGCTCTGTCTAGCTCTTCAGAAAAGCTTAACTGATCAATGATCCTTTACAGTTCCTTCCCATTTTTAAAAGCAATACTGAGAGAGAGCTAGAGCAGTATTTCCCTTACATAATAAGTGTACTTGTTTTCATTCAGCAATGTTTTCAATTCTGTAACTTGAAAGTATGTGGATAATATGTGACAACATCTGCGATGAAATACAGAACATTAAATACTACTTATTATTGTGCAGCATACTAAAGACCCTCTTAATTTCCAACTCACATTTACTAAATTCTAGTTAGAAATCTTACATTGTTTGGCAGCCTAGCCATGTATGTACTTGAACACACACACGCACACTCCATTCCATTTTCCAATTACTAAGAGCAAAAGAATATAAAAAAGAATGATAGATAATACCATAGCCCCATTTCAGAACCCAGGTTTTTTAAGTACAGAGTGTTCTAGTTCAAAATCAATGTTGGTATACACTGTTTTTTCCAGAGAACCAGTAATGCCAGGAGTAATTTGCTGACTGTATTTTCACCTACCATAATATTTACACATACCATTTGTAATGGCTTTTATTGTTTAATCTCCACTGCATTTCAGCATTGGATACTATGGTATTACAGTTATTTAGAAGGCTATAAATAACATAGTTGGCATGTGCAATTGATATTTAAAATGTCTTACGACAACTGTAAAAGCCTCATTACAGACTAGCAAATCAGTTCTAACAAGCAAGTTCAACTGACAAATACCAAAGCAAACCTGCAGTCTATGCTGCAAGCATGTTTGTTTTATTTAAACGATACACATTTAATGTGGTGTGCAACGGACCATCCATACAGACTATAAATAAGAAAGCAAACTTCCAAAGTAATACAGCTGTGAAGTTTTCTAAAATAAAACTTAAAAAAAAAAGAATTCTGAATAACCACAGAAAGAATAGCTCACGTTCCCCTCCCCCTCTTATGAGCTAGTGTCCAATTTCTTCTTTTCTGAACAGCTATATTATCCAACTTAAGTTGCTCTGCTAATTTCAGTCCCATAAGGACTAACTTGGAAGGCAAAAAAGTACTAGAAAAGATCAATTTGCTGGGAAAGATCAAATAAGAAAACTGTGGGGACAGCACCAGGTCAGAGTGTGAAGAACTAAGCAGACCTGTTCTTCATTAACTTAAGCTCTCTTGGGAGGTCACACACTACCTGTCCATGGGCTTATTGAACCGCCTAACCCTCATCTCTGTACCATTCTTCTGGGCCCAAGTGAATCATATCCTGCTGCTGACAAGTTAGCAGGGGACTGCGGCTGCAACATGAAAGTACTTTTCTTTCTTGTCTAAATCAGGCAGATTTTTGAAAAGACGACACAGCACTGACTTGTGACATGGCAAGATGAAATGAGAGGTCTGGGCTGGTCTTCGAGCTGTGCAGATAAAAGTAATCAAATGACACTCCTGGAATGCAAATTGGCATTCTTGACTGCAGCAATTGCACAACCATGAAACATCTCTGACAGCAAGCAAGATTAGGACAAAATGTTATGTAAAGCACTGAACTCAAAAACGCACCAGAAAATTCAAACTGTAACACTTACATTTTAATATACAGTCATCTCTGCTTTTGTCTGTTCCTTTACTTTCTTTAATATAATCACACACACACCCTTCACAAATACCTCAGTAACAAAAATTCATCGTGGTTAAAGGTATAGATCTGCTCATTTTGCCCCCTAAAATACCACAGTGTTGTATTCTTACAAAATAACACCAAGGCAGCGTTTTTCTGTTATATGTGTAAGATGTGTGCTTAAGGAACACTTTCACAATCTCAGGTCTTAACAGAGTTTCAAGATTTGCCCGTAACAAATTAGTTTATAAATTACATTTAGATTTTCTTTTGCATCTGGATCAGGTAAAGATGGATAATTGGAAATATTTAGTGAATAAATTTTAAAATTCATGTGCTTTAAAAATTTAAAGCAGAACATATATAGACATATATGGTTAATACCAGCCAGCTTAAAATGAAACTGCAGTGTATCGCACAGCTCATATAGCCCATTAAATTTCAGATTAAAAATTCCTGCAATTTTTGAGGGCAAGGAAAGTTCCACATGCTTTTACAGGAACTTGGTACTCTTGTGCAGACCTGCTGATCAGGCTTATTAAATATTACTGTTTGAAATGAACTCAGTAAACTGTTAACATTGACAAAAAATGCTACCCCATGTTAAAATTCATCTATGGAGATGGGTTATAACACAGAAGGGAAATGTAAGATAATGAAAAATAAAAGCCCACGTCCACTGAAAAATGTTTCATTAACTCCAATGCACAGCTAACATACCAGTTAAGAAAAGTATGTAGTATCCTGCTTTGATTTCTTACTTAAAAATAGCTTCAAACCATTTTAACTGTCGGCCAGACATACACACAAAAAGACACTCTTTGCCACTTTAATCCTGGGTACACCAGATTATTACATGGTATCTTTTGTGCATCAATTTTACAACAGCTTAACTCCAAGGTAAATGGGAATCATCATAAATTGCATGCTGCTTTCAAAACCACTTTCATTTCTGTCAGCGTTACTGTAACCACAGTCCTGGGCACATGCTGCTTCCCCCCCCCCCCCAATTTTTTTTTTTGTGTGTGTGTGTGTGTTGCCTACATTTGACAGTTGCATCTCCTACACTCCAACTGTGGATTTGATCACTGAAACAAGACATGTCATGTTAGGAAGAGAAGAAAATACAAATAATCCATCTCAAGCTCTCCATTCACACAGACACACACTGTATCTATAGTTTGAGTGCTGTGTATACATACATACATATACACGTATGTATACACATGTATACATACACGTGCGTGTGCATGTGCATGTATGCATATTCAAAGCACACACGACAGATACATAGCATCCCTGGAGCGAGGTGAAAAAGCTGACTAAAAGCAATGCAGTAGTCAGAAATTGAAAATACACTACTTCACTGAATAAGGGCTGATCACTGCTCAGCACTGAGGTCAATCCACTTGTTAACAGGAACAGTTATAATTACACGTTTAGGCATGGCTGTAAACGTGCCTGTTCTTCGCAGCTGTTTAACTTATCTTCACATCGCAACCCAGGCAAACAGTCAAACTAGGTCCTCGGTCATTGTAATTTTTTTATTTTTAGAGATCGTGAAAGCCCCAACCCTGCTTTGCAAACCCCCTGCTGTAAAGGAGACGTACATTTGCACAGCGCATGAAATACGCAGGAAAAAACTCGCTCGAAGTTGCTTTTGGGGGCTTCCTCCCTCACAGCGCATCAGCCTAACTCTGCAAGTTCTGCTAACAGCCACTGATTGGAGAGGTGCAAACTGCAAGCGCATGCACAACAAATATAGTTACAGAGGTAAGGTGGATTTACACTTCTGCCTCCCTGCCGCAGGCGTTGCTTCACATGCACACAGCTCCTTGCTCCGCTCTCAAACGTTACCTTACATTGTGTGCAAACCTTAGTCATTTCCGAGCAGAACGTGGTGTCCAAAAGAGACCAGATCACCGCATGTCCTATTCAACCCCACTCCACCTTCACTCTCCATCCCTACGTACGCACATTTTTTTTTTTAACTTAGCCCCTCATCTCTAATGGAGGTAAGGAGGCGGTAAAAAGCATGTGGCCATCCTATTTCAACCCCCCAAACTCACTTAAAACTTTAGCACAGCCTCTTAGTCTTTTTTTCCCCCAATCCACGCAGCACAGGGCTGGTTTATTTATTTATCATCCTACTTCTTCTCTTTCCCCGGCTCCTTGTTTATTTGAAGGCTGAAGCACACCGGATAGCGAGCTGGGCTGCTTGTGTTACTGCACAATTTATTAATCAAATCAAACCAAAGTAAAAGCTAGAATGAAAACGAAAGGCTGCTGGAAACTTCTTACCATCTCTGCATGCTGGTTGTCAAGTGCACCCCCTGTCTCTCGATCTCCTCTCAGCGGCAGTGCCTGCACCCTTCCTTCTGCCTCTGGGCTCTCAGCGCCTCTCGCTCTCTTTCCCCCTCTCTCCTTCTCTACTACCACCCCCCGCAACCCCCCTCCCTTTCAGGTGATTTGAGCTAAAAAAATAGATTTTAAAAGTAAAAATATTCCCCCCCCCCACCCCTCCCTCCCCCCTCCCCCCCCCCCCCCCCAAAAAAAAAGCAGCAGCGAGAATCTCTCTCTCCGCCCTTTTTCTCTCTTCCAAAACTTCAACCCCCAAAGTTCAGTCCGAGCAGGAAAGACGAAGGACGAAAGAAAGAGAAAGAAAGAAAAAGAGCTTTGGGCAGAGAGCTGGAAGTGATGGAAGGAGGGACCCAGGTTCGGGTCAGAGCCTCCACAGGTTGGTTAGTTGTTGGGTTGTTTGGCTAGGGAAGGGGAGGCGGCGGGGTGACGCTGCGAGTAGGTCTGCGAGGGCAGCGTTGCTCCTCCGAACCCCACGCTCTCGAGCAAGGGAGGCAGGCAGAGAGCCTGAGGGAAGGAGTACTGGGAGGAGGGGGGCGGGGGGGGAGAGTGTGGGGGTGCGAAAAAATTACCCCTTCTGCCTCGTCCCTCCCGCCCAAACTTTCTGTCCCAGGCAGGGGCTGCGGCAGCGGCCGCCCGCGCCCACAGCTGTCAAAAACGCCCCGCGGCTGCCGCCAACTTTGCGGTAAGGGCGACCGGCGGTGCCGCGCGGGGATAGCCGCCCCTCTGCCTCCCGCTTCCCTCTTCCCACTTTCTCCTTCCCGCTCCTCCGCCCGGTTCCTTCCCGCAGCGGCTGCAGTCTCTCCCGCTGCTTCTCACTTACGAGCTCCAGGCGCTGCTGGAGCGAGCGGGAGAGAAAGTAGCTAGGAGAAAGGTGGAGGGAGGGCTGAGACAGGGGAAAAGACACGACGGAAAATAAAGCGTAGCCCAGAGGAGGGAGTAAGGAACCGAGGGGGAGAGGGGAGAGCGTTAGAAGGGAAGCGAAAAGTTAGACAGATGGAAAGTTTTCGCTTGTGGTGCCGGTTTCCCGCTTCCCACCCATTGCTCCATCAGCTCCCGGGGCTCTGCTGCGGCGGCGGCTGCTGCTCGGTGTGGGATCTGAAGAATTTTTTTGTCAAAGGGTGGGTTTTTTTCGGTGGGGGGGGGGGGGGGGGAAGGGAGGCGGGAGGAGGTGAGCGGTCACGGTTGTACGTTTGCAGGGAACAGACAAGAGTCACATCTGTGTGTGACACGCAGCCAAACCGAGCGAAACCCTGCCCCAGCGACGCCGACGAAACGCAGGCGCTGCGGCCCTCCGCGCGCAGCCACACAACGGCCACCGCGCGCGCCACCCCTGAGGGAGCGCGCGCGCTGGGAAGGTGGCGGGGGCAGTGGGGAGTGAGCGCCGTTCCGCGCCCTCCCGCGGCCGCACACGTACCACCGGGCGCTGGGCTTGACCCAGCGCAGAAGGTAGGTGCTGACGTTAGCTGCTGGTCGCGGCGGCCGCCTCCCTGCCTGGTCCGCGGCTCGGCCGGAAAAGGGCTGCGGGCCGCTCGTCCCCGGCTTGGCGCCCTTTCTTCCCCTGCGAAACCTTCCCTTATCCCCGCTTGTGGCCGCTTTAAAGCATTCTCCTGCCTGTCCCCCCGCTCTCACGGCGTCGAGGGGTTGGGAGACACCTAATACGCCGCCTGGGTTGCTGGGCAAAGGGAAGGTGACGGGAGGCTGTCATGCTTTAGACGTGCTATAGATACCGGCAGCCGAGCCTGTTAGGCCACCCCTCGTGTCCTGCCTGTGAAAAAATGCACTGGGATGCGCTAGTTCAACCCAGATCGGCTCCCTTCCGCAGCCTCTGTATAAACACGAGAGTAGGAATGACTGTTTAGAAAGTGAGCATTTGGAGAACTTTTCAGGTAACATGAAATACAAATACCAGGATATATTGTAATCTCCCTTTTGGTGTGGATGGACATTTTAATGACCTCACTGGCACGGAGGAGAATCGACAGATGAGTCAAGTGTGTGAAATAGGTAGCTACTTAGCCCTTCTGATTTTATCTAATCTTCTGAGGACTAAAACCACATCGGACTCTCAATGTAATGAACAGCATGTCCCTGTGAATCACCAAGTTTCTATGCTTTTCACCATATTTTGCCATCTTTGTGCATTTCCAATGTATGTTGGAAGAGGGAAGGGTAAATTATCAGTATCAATATCAAAACCAGCTTTTCACAAAAACTGGCTGGCTATATGTCAACGTTATGTGTGTTTCTGTGGAAACTTAGTTGTTTTCTGGGTATGTGTCAGGTACCTTCATTAGACATATTATCAGCTTATGGACAGGATTTTTTCAGTGTCCACACTTGATCAGGATTAATTTCGAATCTTGAGCTCAACGAGCATGTTTCAGGCCCTAGACAGCCATTCAAAAGGATTTTGCATTTTTTAGGATTTAGTTGTTTGGTTTTTTTTTATACAAGTTCCATGACCAACTTGAGTAACTTGTGGTCATTTAAAATTTCACAGGACTAATTAAGCCATGATTTGCTGTGTTTTCTGTCAAAAGCGAGAGATAAGAAAAAGCTAGTTAATTATTTCGGAGTTGCATTTTATCGCACAGAAAAACGCATTTGCCCTTTTGAACCAGTGAAGGGCCAAAAGTTGCCAAAAGATTGTGTCCACACAGCCCCCTAGTGGTTAAAGCCGTATCAAGTTCACATCCGTGTCTTCTCATGAGAAAGGGAGGGTCCAAGCTAGCTTGATGCAGATGAAAAAGGAAGTGCTGCAACCTTGGCTCACAGAAGGCATGGTCACACGGTGAAGTAAAGCTATGCCATGCCCATTATAAGGCGAGTCTGTGCTCATACAGTTTCACAGGAGTGATTCAAAGGCTGTAAACATACTTTGTGGAAGAAATTTGGAAAAGCAGGTTTTCTTTTAACCGGGGCTAGGCATTTGAAGGACATATTCCTATATGCACTAAACCCAGTAGATTACAGTGATAATAATCTATATCGCACACTAAAAAAAAATTACCTAAAATCTGAATCTGTTTCTTCAAAGAACCTGTTAAGTGTATCACAGTTATTAATAGCTTCCTGTTACTTTATTGTCAAACATTTTAAGTCATTTTGTATGAAAAAACTAATAAAGCCTCATGGGGTCATTCCTTTGTTATCTTCCTTGATACTTAATTCAGTTTTTTTAAACCTCCCTTTTTTTTCTTTCTTTCTTTTTTTTTTTTTTTCCCTTCCATCTGTCAATAAGCCAGTAGCTTTTGTATTGACAGTGCATTACAGCCTCTTGAAAGCTGTTGAGGAGGTAAAATAGCTGGAGGCAAGTTGGCTGTTGGGAGTTCTGATTCTTGGGTTGACCATATGGGATTACAGGATAAACATTGTAGAATAAGACATTTCTGCTCAAAGAATCAGCAGCAAAACAGCTAACTGGTGACATTAGGATATACACTATTAGTAGACTAAACAAGCTCCATGCTTTTGCAAAATTTTGCATCTTTGTAGTTGCATTTTTAGTCACATACATAGTAGTGTTTTAAATCTGCAATGTCTTTGCTTTCAAATTTCCCTACTATGTGAGACATTCTGAGGTAAACCTAACAAGATGGGGCCCTTGTTAAAATACTGTACCATTCACGTGCACAGTGATTTTTATTTATATTGCTGTGGTGACTGTGACATCAGCACATGTCATAGATATTGCAGAAAATGGGAACATATCTCCTTGTAGCTCAATGAAACACACCTCAGAAAACAGTGTTTGGATTCAAGCCGTATTATCAGGACTGCCTTATGACATCTCAAAGTGTATAATTATCTTAAATTTTGCATAAGGGTTGCAGGGAATAGGATCAAAGCCTAAACTTTGCCTTGCCTTTTAGACTAACAGTATTTGTTAGTGAAGAAAGCAGTGCCTCTTAGTTCCAGCCTCATCAACGGGAATATTACAAGTACTTTATCACTGTAGTTGTTCTTCAAAACCAGTTATACCCACTATAAAGAATTAGTAGTACTCATTGGTCTGGGATTAATTAGCATGAACAAAGTTAGTTGGAAAAGTAATTTTCCTCACTTTCATTTTGATTTTCCAGATTGGAGCACTGAGAAATTGCAAGTTTGAGATAGAGTCTGAGTAGGAATTGCAGCTTGAGAGGAATGGAAATATAAGTCACCCAAACTGTGATGTCTCCACATTGTGGTATTTCTTGCTGTCTTGATCTTCCTACTCACATAAGGAATTTGTGGTTCACTTGAATCTTCTGCCCATTTTGCAGACCTGGAGGTTCTGTCCAGAGGATGTGCCCAACCAACATAGCAGAAGTGAGACTTAAGGCACCAGTAGCATACAAGAGGCTACAGCAACATAACAAACTGAAATCCTCCATATTTTGATGTCTGACAAAGTGAGAAAGAGCACTTCTATAGTTATTACACTATAATTCAAATGTAAATGAAATCTACAGTTTACCAGTAGAAAGAATCTCCAGACGAGAAATTGCGTCGTCTTGATAGAAAATTTATGTTCTCTAATCCACAACTAGTAAAGCAAAAAATCCAGCATAAAAATAACCATCAACATTTTAGACCAATACCATTATGAAGTCTTAATATTTTTATTAATTTTATTAATATTTATGGGTGTAGCATCTATATGCATATTGAACATTTATATTAAATTCCTGTGCTCAGTATTACTGTTGATTACATTTAGAACTTTCTAACCCCTGTTAACCAAGTGACAAAATGTAGTACAAAGTTCATGGAAGTGTGTCAAATAATAACAGATACTTTAGTTTTCTGAGTCAAAAACCATTTTTGTCACTCAGAGAATTTAAGATCAGCTAATCCCCTTGCCTCTTGCACTAAAATACGAAGGTGATTTGAAGTCTTTCCAGCACTTAAGTATTTCTAGATCCTCTCAGTCATAATGGTGTTTGAGATAAAAAAAGGTTATCTGCAGCATATCCATCTTTTTTCTTTTTGTACCATATCCTCTGTACCCAGTCTTTTCTGTCTTCTAGAGGTTGCTACCGTGCAGTTTGATTTATCTTGAACTTTCCCAAATGCATTAGCAGATGTTCTTAAAGACAAACGTACTTCCAGTACTTTATGAGCTCAGTTGAAAGAATATCTATTAAAAGCAATAGATACAGATGCTACTTTGTATGCAATAGATACAGATGCTACTACAACAGCTTTTGTAAGGGACACTAGAAGGTTTTAAACATGAGCAAAGAAAACTGTTCAACCCACTGTAAAGTGCAATATGTTTCAGCAACTTGCTTAAAGTAGTAAAGCAAAAATACATGTTTTGGATCTGTTTGTTAGTTCTATGGTCATAGTTTCTCCAATGAGAATATACACATTTACATTTAAAAGCTCTCTAGATTGAAGTTTCTTCTTTCTATGTTGCCACTTCCAATCTCTGTCCATCAAAATTGTTTTATATAGCTCAGTAATTGCTAGTCAGAGACCACACGTAGTGTTCTATGTGCATTCTGGAATATGTCTCAGCTTATCTCATATAACACTTGAGGGTATTTTTCCCAAGTGAGTCTCAATGTTTTTCAGTTCTCTTAGTGTTTTACCATTTGTTTTCCTTATATTACTCCATTCAAAAGTGATTGCCTTGGAGAGTTAGCTGTAAGCATGATGGGAAAGTCTTTCTTTTTTCTCATGCAGTTTAACTGCTTTAGTGTTGAACTTTAATTTTTGATGGGATTTTACTTCTTTTATCATAGTATCTTAGAATGAGCATTTCTGCACTTAGTTTGCTTTCCTAAATGAGTTTTAACAAATAAAATGCCCCAGTCACAGCTAACAATGACTGGTGACTCAGCGTCTTAAAAGCAACAAAAATATCAAATGTAATATTGCATGGCAAGTCACAAAATCTGTCATGTCCAGTCTTGAAAGATTACTGCTAAGATTTCCCTACTTTTGGCAGAGTAATTTTTCTGCTATTTCACCTTGCTTAAATGGATGCTACGACCTAAGCTGAATACAGTACAGAACATTAAAGGAGGCTTTAAATAACATGGCATAATGATTCCTGATGCATCATAACTTCTTTATTCCTTTTCTATTTTGTTTATAATTGCTTCAAATATTAAAATATAATTTGATCTTCATGTCAACAGAAAGAAGACAAAAGAGTTGACAAAATCCAAAAATACAAAAAAAAGAGACCAACTTCTAGATTTCAAGCTCTCCTAGAAGAGGATTCAGCTACTCTTAACAACAGATATAATAGTTCTTGTTTGAACTTGAGCTTGGTTCTAAGCCTCACATCAAAAGAAGTAGTTAAAATGTCAAGTTCTCTTTCTGCTCTTTAGCATAAAAATACATTGTTGACAACATCTACTGGACTTCTTTTCTTTCTCACATTGTGGCCAGGTGCAGTAGGAAAACGAAGGTGTAGACTTTGCTATAGGCGTTGCTTAAAATATGAGGAATGTAGAGAGAAAGTAGGAAATGAAAATAGTTCTATCCAAAAACTACTTTCCTTTTTATAGTACTTTTTTATCCATGCACTTCTACCACTGGATCATAGGATCATCAGCCAAATACTGTTTGGAATTGACAGTGCTATCCAGATAGAGCTCTGAATTTCCTTTCTGTCCTTTGGCTGCCCCACTTCCAGTTAGTTTGATTTCACGTCCAAAGGGTTGGTCTTGGATCTTGGAGCAATCTCTCCAAATCTGTGTATGCTCTCGTTGAATTTTCTGAATCAAAAATACGAAATTGACTTCATCTGTATGTATGTATACATACATATATATATGTGCATGTGAAATTAATAAAAAATATATGCTATGTGTGAATGGATGTACAAGGAGAATAAAGGAAATACAGAACTGTTGGCTAGGTGGTTCTTTTTAAAATTTAAAAATGTGAAGTCAATTCAGAATTCAAATGTGGATCTTTTAGTATTGATTATGCAGGGCAGGACAGTCTTATTTCATTTCAAGGAGAGAAAAATGTTATTTTCTGCTATGAAAGTTAATTTACAAATATGCTCATACAGACTTTCTGTAATCCAATGTAACAGTACTGTCAGTGAGTATCTCAAAGCAGAGCTAAATATGAAGAGGACTGACCAATGGCTCTAAAGAAGAGTCAAAGGAAGCTACCATTTGAAGAACTGCTAGAAACAATTATTCATGAAATACTTACCCTGAAAGGCTGGCTATTCTCAGAACATGGCATCAGTAGCAACTGAGATTCTCTTTGTAAAACTATACTGTATATGGTGAACATTTTAATTTGACCCTCTGTTTCTGATTTCTGAGTTCCATGTGCTTGTATCCTCTGCCCTATGTCTTCTGCAAACACACTGTATACAAGCAAAAGACTTATTCGTGTTTGATACATGTAAGTAAAAAAAAGTTGGTAATACTCTGATTGGCTTTGTGATCTAGACACCATAATTTGAAATGTTCTAACACTCAGAATCAAAACAGTTATAATAGTTGCTGCAGAAAACTAGAAGGCATAAAAGAAGCTAACCTCCTCAATCTCCCCACCTTCTTCTTTCTCTGAAAAAGTCTAAGGTGACAATGTTGTTCCACAGACCACTGAAGTCAAGTTTCTTCTCCCTGACCTGTTACTGCCAATAAATGAGTGTTGCAGTGGTAGCAAACTTAGTGTGTTACTACTGAAGAAGATATGCCACAAGCTGTGAGATGAAAACTCTGACAACTGTTCCAAAATCAAAATCTCAGCCGCAGTTACTCAGCATCGTTGGTCCAGTGACACGACTAGCAAATACTTGAACTCAAAATACCAGCTTTACTACTCCATAGTGTATAACAGAATAATAACAGAATAAGCTGGATCTTCAGCTCTATATGCCTAGCAGTAACAGCCTTGTTGGTTTTGGTGGCCTGGAAAGTACATGAATCCAAGCTTTATTGTCAGTGCCTCCCATAACATTATTGCTATTTCCTGTTTCAGCCTTTAATAATGCAGGATAGGTTAGGGTTTCAATGTGTTTTCTTTTTTTTTTTTTTTTTCCTTTTCCCTCTGAAAGTTTAAGGAATGGTTGAAATACAGTCCAAGTCACATTTTTAAAAGGAAGCTGGATAGTTACTGTCTGCATTCTTGTAAGTCATTTCACATATTTCTCTTAAAAGACAAGTACTTCCTTGTAACTTCTTCAGCTTCTTTGTGTTATTCCTTTACAGACCAAATTCACACACACCCCCCACCCACAGAGGCATTACTTAGTACTTTGTAAGAGATGTTGATGAAATTGTAATCATTACTTTAAAATAGGAGCTAAAATAAATCCTGTATATGAAAGAAAAGATGATCTTTGACTGAAGCGCCACATTTATGCAGAGGAAAGACAGACATCTGGTCCTCCACATACAGTTTTAGGAGGCATTTATTCAGAAAACCTGTTGCAGAAGCATACCAATGGACACAATTTTCCAGACTCCAGAGGAAAATCTATTCATTGAGAATTCAACTCTCACAATACCTCATTTCATGACAGAGAGGCATCAAACAAAACCATAATGAGCTATTTCTAGCTCTTATAATACTTCAGTCTATTTCAATCATAGAATAGTTAGGGTTGGAAAGGATCTTAAGATCATCTAGGTCCAACCCGCCTATGGGCAGGGACACCTCACACTAAACCATGCCGCCCAAGGCCTCGTCCAACCTGGCTTTCAACACTGCCAGGGATGGAGCATTCACAGCCTCCCTGGGCAACCCATTCCAGTGCCTCACCACCCTAACAGGATAGAATTTCTTCCCTATATCCAATCTAAACTTCCCTTGTTTAAGTTTTAACCCGTTACCCCTTGTCCTATCACTGCAGTCCCTAATGAAGAGTCCCTCCCCAGCATCCCTATAGCCCCCCTTCAGGTACTGGAAGGCTGCTGTGAGGTCTCCACACAGCCTTCTCTTCTCCAGGCTGAACAGCCCCAACTTCCTCAGCCTGTCTTCTTACAGGAGGTGCTCCAGTCCCCTGATCATCCTCGTGGCCCTCCTCTGGACTTGTTCCAACAGTTCCATGTCCTTTTTATGTTGAGGACACCAGAACTGCACACAATACTCCAGGTGAGGTCTCACGAGAGCAGAGTAGAGGGGCAGGATCACCTCCTTCGACCTGCTGGTCACGCTCCTTTTGATGCAGCCCAGGAAATGGTTGGCTTTCTAGGCTGCAAGCGCACACTGCCGGCTCATGTTCATTTTCTCATTGGCCTTATTCAAAGCAATTACTTGCCTTATTTGAAACAATTTCACTTACCACCAACCCTTAAAACTCTTTATGGTATTGTTACAAAGTCTAGGTCAATAATTTAGATTCTAAATTTAATCACTGATACCAGGAAAATAAATCTGTCAATATAATGTAGCAGTAGGTTACTGGTATTGTGCTTTTTAGATGAAAAGCAAGTATTGTGATGGTGAGCAGGAGACAAACCATTCAGCATCACCACTGTATATGGCAAACAGAGATATGTTCATTTTAAACTGGATGCATGCAGGCTGTAAGTCACCTTGAATCAACGGAATTGCAGAATTTTGGATTCGGATGAAATCTCAGGATTTCTAATTTGTTTT